AAAAATTAGCTTCTTCAGAAGGATGCTGGGGACTTCATGGACTGAACATGTGAGCAACGACGGATATTTATGGAAAATGAAAACAAAAAAAGATACTTATATCTAAAACCAGAAGGCAGTGAAAAAAGTCTAGGAAATATAATGAGGAAAGGGGTCTCAGAGAATTTGACACTCACAGAACATTGAAAGCGAGAATAGCAGAGGAAAGCAGCGAGCAATCTATCCAAAGAGTTTGTGTAATTGAATTGGGGTTGGAAGGGATAGCGAAAAGATAAATCTTACTAAGAATTACAAACGATAGAAAGTTGTGGAGAGCCATGATCTTTCATGTCCTGAATAGAAGAATGTAATAGAAAAATTAATAGCAAGGGAAAAGATCTCGTTTTTTTTTTTTTTTTTTTTTTTTTTTTGGCAGTGTCGAATCCTGGATGCATACTTAGTTTCTAGGGATTTACCATTATGTCTCTTTTTTTATTTCAATTCCTGCATTCACTGATTGGCAGTCTCATCTCCACCTTTACATAGTCTTCTTCTTATTATTATTGTAATAACGGGTTTAAGTCATGGATCTGTTTCCTCACCGGACTTATTCAACTTATGTTAGCATTTTTGGGTACCTTGGTACTAGTGAGCCAGCCAAAATGAGCTGACTCATTGTATAGGTCACCAATAGAAGGGTTAACCAATCAGAAGGCTCAAAATATTCAATGCGACGTGTATAAAGGCGGCCATGTTTTTTCCCGAATACTCACTGCCAGCCTTTGATATCGAAGACTGAAGAATTACTGAACAGCTGCTGCTGCTGGTATTGGCGATATAGGCGGATTCAGTTGAGTGTCTGACTCGTGAGTATTAATCTTTAACGTTGTTTTATTGAACAGATTAGGTACTGCGCTGTATTCTATATTCATAGACTTGGCTATATTCATAGACATGGTCAACAAATTATGCATTGAGGCGATTCTGAGAGAATCAGAAGTCCTACCGAGATTAATTATTTGCTGCCACAATGTTAACAAAATAAGATCTGCAGATGACACAGCGTTGAAAGCAGACAAAAAAAAAAAAAATGAAGACTACAAGAACTCCTTCAAAAGATAGTGAAAGGACTAAACATCAATTGCAAGAAAAGAGAATGCATGGTTGTCAGCAAAAGGGGCGACTCAAAAACGCAAATTACAAAGTGGAGATGTCAAAATCAAACAAGGACAACGATTTAAATATCTGGGAAGTGTTTTCACAGAGGACGGAAAGTGCGACACCAAAATCGCATTGGAATAGCAAAAGATGCCTTCCAAAAGCCAAGCAAATTATTAAGAAACAGGAAAATTTCGTCAGAAACAAAGAAAAGTATACTGAACTGTTAAAGAAAAGATTACTGGATTTTCGCTAGAAACCAAGTGTACTGAACTGAACTGTTACCTCTTATATGGCAGTAAATGCTGGACAATCTCCCCATAGATGAAGAAGAGACTTGAAGCAAAATGTGCTTCTAGAGAAAGATGACGAGAATATATTTGGACCAAATATTTGAGCAACGACCAAGTTTTAGTGAAAATGGAAACAAACAAACAAACAACACCCCCCCAAAAAAAAAACAAAAAAAAATAACCACTTATACTTAATAACAGAACGAATGAGTTGAAGTTTCTAGGGCATACAATGAGAAAAGAGGGCTTGGAAAATTTGATACTCACAAGACAGATTGAACGCAAGAAAGACAAAGGGAAAAAAACGCACAACCCACCTCACGAGCTTGAGTGAATGCGTAACAGGGTTTAGGAGAGATAATAAAAAGGCAAAATCTCTTTAGAGCTACAAAGGATAAGAAATTGTGGATAGCCATAATCGTCAACGTCCTGAAGGGACACGGAGCATAGAAAAAGAATTGCAATTGTCGATGTCATTAAAAGTAGTAACATTCTTCTTTTATGTACTATGTCCTTTCAAGATTCTTCTTTTATGTACCATGTCCTTTCAAGATATCGGATTCATGGCTCTCCACAATTTCTTTTCTTTAGTTGCTCGTATTAACTTTGCCACCCTTCTTTGTTTCAGCTCATGAACACAAAATAATTAGGTAGATTGCTTGATGTCTCGCTCTGATTGCTTGCATTCAGTGTCTCATGTGAGTGTTAAATTCACTAAACCATCTTTCCCTATTCTGAATGTCAGATATTTCAGTTGTCTATTTCTAAATGTAAGAATACAATATCTTTTATTCTTAGAACGTCGTTGTTGCTCGCATGTTCTCTCCATGGAAGTTCCCTTTGGAAATCTTCATCCCAAGAACCGCTACTTAGTGGAACGGACTCACGAGGGGATGTTTCCCCGATCACTACAATCTTAACAGCTTCAAATCTCGAATCAGCCGTTGCCTATTTTCAACAATCTCATTCAGTAATCCTCTGTCTTGAGGGTCTCTTGGGCATTGTATTGGATTAAGAGCATTAAAATCTGTTCTTTATATGGTATTATAATTAGCCCTTCATTCACTGGCTTATAGGTGATTTGATGTTAGAGAGCATTTCGATGCTCATCTTTTATTTTGTTTCTGACGATATTTTCATGTGTCTTAATGTTTTGCTTAGCTTCTGAAAGACATTTTTCAACATTTTTTATGCGCTGTCTCTTTTCGGATTGTCAATATAAGTTTCCTTGTAGTTCCTATTCTCCTTAAGAGTTATTAGCTGAAATATTAGTAGAAATAGTTTTTAAAATAATCTGGTTTACTTTATTCATTTTCGAAATTGATGGAGATCTAATTAAAAGTACCAAATGAATAAACGGTAATTAAAATAAAACCCACATCAAACGTGTCGACAATAATAAGTTTTCTGATTATGGACATGATGTATAAGCAATATATATATATATATATATATATATATATATATATATATATATATATATATATATATATGATTTAATGAAATAAAACAATTCTGTAGCCTGCCTGCCAGTCTGTACGCCTGATTGGCTGAATGGTTGGGTGGCGGAGTAGCCATTACGGAATAGCGAGCCTAACATTAAACAGAATACACAAAATCTACCGAAAAATCAAAAACAAGAGAAAAAAAGGCGGAAAACGAAAACCGAAAGATGGAATATAATTAAACACAACGAAATTTACAACAACAACAACAAAAATGATATGCAAAAGAAAATAAAGGCAAAAATTATACTCTAAAGGTCTACAAATAAGCAATCCGTCTTTGAAGATGTGTGGAAAAGTTAATTTCGCTAATAAAGTCGAAGGTAATTAATAAAACACGAATCATTGAAAGTGCGTCGAAAAACGAAGAAAAACTGATACAAAATCAATGAAAACATGATTTTGTTTCAAACACGCTTCAACAAACAAAATCATTTGTTGTTCAATTCAATAAACTTATTCATAATAACGCCATCTTCCTTTTCAAACGAAAAAAGGGAGTCACGGCTCATGTAATAAACACGTTTCATTAAAGAGACAGCCTTCGTCGGATATACTGTTCATTTTTCACTCATCATAGACTAACCGCATATTAAAAGTGATTTAACTTTCTTTCAAGAGAGATAGCTTAAAATAACAAGCCTACAGTGTCCAGATATAGAAATAAACACTTGTCTTAGAAAATACACACAGGAGAAATATTTGTGTCTGAGTTTCTTTGATGCGTAATCATTTTCTTCTATATGTCTCATCCCTTCAGGACAATTCTCCAGAACTTTCTATCTTGTGTGGCTCTTAGCAATGTTTCTCCCTTTGGCAAAAACCCCCGGCTCCCGTTCGACAATTCGTTCACACAAACTCGTCAGTTAAGCGACTCACTGCATTCCCTTATCTCTATCGGCCTCAATATACCCCGTGAGGGTTATGTTTTTCAAACCTTCCATTCATTATGTGTCCAAGGAATTTCAGCAGATTTTTCCCTGATTTTGAGCATGAGTGTTCTTTCTGTTGCCATTTTCTTTAATACTTCCTTGTTGCTTATTCGCTCTGCCCATGGAATTTTCATTGTCTTTTTGTCGGGGCACATTTCTGCTGGCTCATTCGTGCTGAAAATTGTCCAACATTCACTGTCACATAAGAGGTTGGATATCGCATAGAAATCCAATTTGTTCATACGAAAATTTACCGTTTCTCAGCACCTTTAGATCTTGGAAAGCATCTTTCGCTATTCCAATACACCAGTCAGTTAATGCCATGCGTGATACACGCACCTTTGATACAAGACTGACGAGGTAGATTTTTTCCCGCAGTAGGTTGCCATTACTTTCTGCGGTAGACCTGTGGTCATCCGAGACTATAAAACCCGGTTTGTCCTGCTATTTACCCATAGCTGGTAGGAGAAGAGGATTCATTCATTTCCCAAGGGTATTAGCACGTAAGTGAATGCAGTGGATTCGACTGGAATTCGAAATCGGCTCTCCGATTCCCTTATCCGAGCCGCTATCCATTACTCCACCGTTAAAACAGTATATAATAGTTTATAGAATTAATAAAATTGTAATTGTCTTGATACTTAAAGTTTAAGAAAGACTATAATACGAGTTTTCTTGCACTTGCTTCAACCCTTTATTACTAAATAACATGTTTTACATATTTTTATAGTGACTGTCCTGATGAATAGACCAGGGAGAAGCGTGACCGGATGATAGGGGAACGTATCTACTCCTATTGAGAAAATTAATTCAATAGTAAATAAAAACTCAGACCTTTGGGAGGAGAGATTAGAAGTATGGAGATGAAGTAGACTTTAAAAGTAACTTGAAACCCAATCCTGAACGGAAAAAAAGTGGATAAACCTCTACTCCTGTTCAAAAGTCCAGGGACGAGTGGTGAACCTGACAATCTTCAGGAGAAATTAATTTTTTTTTTTTTCATTAAGACAGTTGGTTAAAGTTATGAATAATCATTAAACCGAAGATAAATTGTCCACTGAAGATCGTGGACATATAAAAAAAAAATAATCTTTTAGGTATGCTGAAATAATATTTTTTTCCTGGCAACGTTGATGGCTTCCAAGAAGACTTCGTTTGATCGCAATGCAACTCACCTAGTTCATCCGACCGTGGAGCATCTGGAAAGTTCGCAATACGCAGTTGATATGCTCGATTTTTCATTATGTCTTCTCCATTAATTCTGTAAACTTTCCTTTTTCATTTGTTTTTTTTTTCAGGACGTAGACAATCATGGCTCTCCACAGATTCCTCGCATATTATCTGGGAATTGTCTTAGGGAACGATAGCGGATTAGTTTAGCGTTTCCTTCTCCGCGTTTTTGAATTCGGAATAATCCTCTTAGACTGGCTGCTATCCAAGGACCGGGAGCCTAATTCTTAAGGTCCGTAATCGACGTAGTACTGTTGATTGATTTCGAAAGACCCGGCTGAACTTCAGATACATTGCTTAGATTTCCCTAGCATTATGGCGCTGAGAATTTTTAATTTCAAACACACACACACACACACACACACACACACACACACACACACACACACATATATATATATATATATATATATATATATATGTATGAGGTGGGTAGGAAGGGCAAGAATAAGAGAATGGAAGGGTGTACAGATAAACAAATGAACTCATATATATCTATATTTCTTTTTACTAAACAGTACACTTGTCATATCTCAATTCATATACTCTTCGACACAAGATGTATGAAAAATACTTTGAGTCTGCTTGGCCATCCGATGTTGAAAGTACTCTTGTACACACAAAAAAAAAGGCAAAAAGGACATAAAATGTAAAATACAAGTGGAATTTAAAAAGTAAATAAAAATAAATGTATTAAAATGAATAAATAGATATAAAAGAATAAAATGAGACTTCAATAAGTAAAAATGTGGCGACAGTAAACCTACTCTTTATATGTTGCTCGAATAGGGATAAAGAGCGTGAGAGAGGCAGGGGGTGTGAATATATATGCAAAAGAAATAAAGGGGGGTGAGAATGTAAGTGGTTGTATACAAAAAGAACTTGGGGTTTGCATAAATTTTGTCTATCATATCTTTTTCATCTGTTCGTTACACCTTTTTTTCGCTTTACTTTCTTCTCTTTTCTTTCTTTCTTTCATGTATTTTCAATTGTTTCTTTTTGTCTTTAATTTTCCTTTCTCTCAATTATAATCAGATTTTTCTTTTTCTTCTTTCTTTTTCCACATTTTTCTTTCTTTCTTTTCTTTCTTTCTTTTCTTTCTTTCTTTTGTCTACATTAGTTCTTTCTTTCTTTTATCTCCCAATTGGTATTTCTTTCTTTCTATCTTGCATTCATTTATATTTGCTTTGTTTGTTGGTTGATTGGTTTCTTTCTTTCTTTCTTTCTTTCTTTCTTTCTTTCTTTCTTTCTTTCTTTTGTCTACATTAGTTCTTTCTTTCTTTCTTTCTTTCTTATGTCTGCATTAGTACTTTCTTTCTTTCTTTTTTTCTTTCTTTCTTTCTTTTGTCTGCATTAGTTTTTCTTTCTTTCTTTCTTTTGTCTACATTAGTTCTTTCTTTCTTTCTTTCTTTTCTTTTCTTTCTTTCTTTTGTCTACATTAGTTCTTTCTTTCTTTCTTTCTTTCTTATTTCTGCATTAGTAATTTCTTTCTTTCTTTTTTTCTTTCTTTCTTTCTTTCTTTTTTTCTTTCTTTCTTTCTTTTGTCTGCATTAGTTTTTCTTTTCTTTCTTTCTTTTGTCTACATTAGTTCTTTCTTTCTTTCTTTCTTTCTTTCTTTCTTTTCTTTCTTTCTTTTGTCTACATTAGTTCTTTCTTTCTTTCTTTCTTTCTTTCTTTCTTTCTTATGTCTGCATTAGTACTTTCTTTCTTTCTTTCGTCTGTATTAGTTTTTCTTTCTTTCTTTCTTTCTTTCGTCTGTATTAGTTTTTCTTTCTTTCTTTCTTTCTTTCGTCTGCATTAGTTTTTCTTTCCTTTTTTCTTTCTTTCTTTTGTCTGCATTAGTTCTTTCTTTCTTTCGTCTGCATTAGTTTTTCTTTCTTTCTTTCTCTTTTTAAATGTTTCTTCAATCGAGTTATTCCTTTCCTCTATATCCTTCAAAATGACCAAGATACGAATGACAGCTGTCTGCTCTTTGAGGATCTGTATCTATACTCTAAGGTATTATTTAGTAGAAACAGCTGAATGTCACGGGTGCAAGCAACTCTTATTCTACCCACAACACCCTGATCCACCCCACCTGCTCCGAAAATTTGCATCTACTTTCTTTTACAATGTAGAATTTCATAATGACATCGACAGAAAAATTATGCCAGAACACATTTATCATACAATCGGGTATCCTTATGGATAAGTGTATTCGTTCAATGTGTGTGTGTGTGTGTGTGTGTATGGGGTGGATGTTTTCTGTCTATCCTCATAGGTACCTAAATATCTGATCATATATGTTTTCAATAATATCCTTTCTACGTATACGGACAAACACATGCACAAACACACCCTAACACGCACACACAAATCATGTTAGATTTTAGTATGTGAGTCAATATTTTCACAAAATTATTAGAATAAACGTTCAGGAAATGTTTTTTTATATATATATATATATATATATATATATATATATATATATATATATATGAAGAAATATAGTCTTAAGATGTGCTATATTTATGGGATAAAGTGCTCAATGTCAGAGATAGGCGTGTGTAAATATAAAGTGAACATAGAAGTCAACACTTAGAGGCGACAGTCTGTTTCATCTTAGATGCAATCCTCAGGCCACGAGTGCTCCTGACGATTGCATTCTAGCATGAAACAGACTGTCGCCTCTAATGTTGAATTTATGTTCACTTTTATATATATATATATATATATATATATGTATTATAAACTGATCTGATATCTCGTTCACACACACACACACACACACACACACACACATATATATATATATATATATATATATATATATGAACGAGAGATCAGTTTATAATATATTTAATTATAAATAGATAATGCGCTTTTCCTTGAGGGTCAGGTTTTATTATGCAAATTGCAACATATTTTTTATTTACAACTAGCAGTATAACCTGTCTTTGACCGGGTGTTTCATTACTGTGAATTTTTGTCCTTCAATTGCAGCAGTTTAAGTTTAAATTCAGCCCACCCGAAATTCAATATTAGTAACAACAGTTGGGTGGAACAGAGGCACATCCCCAAATGAAGCGGAGGGTACAATTTAAATTTTAATTCTAATAATCTTTTGCGTTAGATTTCAACTCCCTAAATTGATTTTACGCTGTTTTTTACAGACATTTATCACCTACAAAGTTGTAATTTTTCTCAGCCAATTTGGACCCACAATCGGCACTGAAGATTTATCTATCAAGCAAAAAAAAAAAAATCATCGAAATTGGATGAAAACTGTGGAAACGTATATACAACATCTGATCACACACATACACACACACACATTTTGAGAATTATACATATAGATTACAACCAAAAGGTTTGGGGCATAGAAACCTCTATTTTATTATAAAAAACAACTTGTTGTTGTTGTTGTTGTTGGTGGTGGTGGTGGTGGTGAATGGGAACGGTCATTGCTCTTCATAACTTCCTACTCCTTTGTAACGTTTAGCTTTTCTTTAGCCTAACCCTTCCAACCACTTTTCTGACATCCATTTAGATAAATTTATTAGGTAAGTTACGTGCTCGTTTCCTCTGTCTTTATTGACCTGTGAGTGTCAAATTCTGCAAGCCTTCTCTCCTCATTTGTTCTAGAAATATCAACTGTCTCTTTCTGATTCTAAATATAACTGTCAATTTTCTTTCCATTTTCCTTAAAACCTCTTCTCTATCTCTTCAGTCCATAGTACACTTAGCCTCCTTCTGTAGAACCAGATTTCTTTGGGTTCAAGTCTCTTCTTCATCTGTGAGGAGATTTTTTAGTATTTAGTCTCATATAGGAGGGCCGGTATTACATATATCTCACATTTTTGTTTTTGTTTCTAACGAAATTTTCCAGTTTCTTAATACTTTGCTTAGCTTTTGGAAGGCGTCTTTCGCTATTCCGCTTCACCTTCAGATTTTGGAGTTACAGTTTCCACCCGTTGTTAAAACCCTTTCCATATATTTGAATCTTTGTTCTTACTTGACTTTGCCATCTCCAATTTGTAATTTGCATCTGGGGCTGTTCCTTTTGCTAACAGCCATACATTCTGTCTTCTTGCAGTTGATGCTTAATCCATTATTTCTGCTTTCATTTACAAGATTCTGTAAGCGTTCCCGATGTTTCCCTTCTGTATCTGTTATTAGTTCTCTGTCATCAGCATATCTTATATTGTTAAGATAGTGTACACCTGGTAGCCCTTCTCGTTTTCTCAAGTTAACCTCGCTGTATACATCGGATAAGTCCGGTGAGAAGACCCATCGTTGTCTTACGCCCCTTTCTATTCTTGTGTATTTATTGAACACATTTTCTATCCGTATGCAGTCGTTTTGCTCTCGATATAAGTTCTGGATTATTCTGATATATTTTCCAAATTAAACAAGTTTTCCTATAAAACTGCAGAAATTATTACAACAACTAAGCGATTCCATCACAAATAAACATTTTATTTCTTACAACGGTCGGTGCAAGTGCTCTGTCGTGTTTCTTGGGGAAGGACAGCCTGACGGAACTGAAACCTCTCCAGTTTGAATTCAGAGTTTTTCTTCTCCGAGACTGATTGCCATTCAAGAATATAGAGCCATATTTTACCTGCTATTTGTCAACTAGGAATCTATGATATGGGGTCACCCACTCTAATACATCCCAACTTTCATAAGGTAGTATTCATGTAAAATATACATTTTTATTCCTGTAAAATACAAATTTTCTTGTAACCTAATTATGTACAATAATGAACCATATACAATATAGGTGAACAATTCAAGTAGGAAAATTGAAAATAAATAAAATGTATCTAAACACATGTCATAATCGATCATTCCATCTTAAATAAATCAATAATGTTTTTCGGCAATTTTTTAACATGAACTTGATATTTTTCTTGTAAAAAGTTGAAGCATTTGAACACGATGAAGGCCGAGGTGTCGTTTTCGACACCTTCAAATTTTCAACAAATTACTATGGAATAATTAGTTTTGGTTCAATGCTGAGGCTTATGGACAATTATTGAATTTTAGCAAAGATGCTTAACAGACTTAATTCTTTAAAAAATATTCAGTGGAATAACTGATATTTGAGGTTTTACCTTGAACGGCCGAGGTGTCGTTTTTGACACCTAGGCTATTTATAGGGTAAATGCATTGAACCATTTCTCACAAGCAATAATACTTGTGTTTATGTCCCTATTCATCTATCTATCTATCTATCTATCTATCTATCTATCTATCTATCTATCTATACACACACACATAATTTATGCAAAACACACACACACACACACACACACACACACACACACACATATATATATATATATATATATATATATATATATATATATATATATATAATCACTCTCTTTCAGTATGAAGTATACTAATATTTGTGAAATTCTTTTCAGACTTGTCATTCCTGACTTGAATATTGAATATATTACAGATGGCTGCTTCACGGCGTAATGGAAATAAAGATGTCAAAGGAGCTGGCCTTCCTAGTGTTAATACTTTCAACATTATGGATAAAATATCATGAATTTTATAGAGTTTTTTTTTCAAGATTTCTCAATTTCAAAACAAATTCAGGGATTTGAAACAAAAGAAAACCCTGGAAGACGCGACAATTTTTTCAATCTTTAATAGTCAATTGTTTGCACTTTAATTTGTAACATATATAAATGTAGGTAGGGAAAAAGCAAATATTGATACGATCGTGAGGGTCACAAAGCACTAACCGGAGCTCCCAATCAGGTTGGTATCCCGTGGTTAGGTGGCTCGAGGGTAGTACGCATAGACTCTTGTTTCTTACATGGAGCCAAACTTTTGGGATCGATTTGGGAGATTTATTATTGACAATAGTGCCTTTTGCGTTGAACATTGCTATATGTTAGGGAACTTGAAATTTATTCTGAAAGCTACATGTGATTAGTAATTAGAATGATAAATTGGTTCCCCCAAAACAGAAATTACTTACGATTCAACATAATAGCTCTATAAATATCAGTATAAATTACTGATGAAAAATTAGTTTTCATGTATTTCTTTGCCTAATTTACATATTTCGCGTTCTGATATTGATACAATTATAGTAAGTGTTACGGCAACAACAGGTTGAAAAACCGGTTCCCGTATGACCATCGAAGTTAAGCAATGTCAAGCCTGGTCAGTACCTAGATGGGTGACCGCTAGGGAATTCCAAGCTTGTATGTGCGTGTGGTTTAATGGATAATGGCACGAACTTGCTAATCGGAGAAAAGAGTTCCAATTTTGTTATATTCACTTAGGCCATGGGAAAGTACGAATTTACTGCTTCTCTCCCCAGCTATGGGTTAATTAGTAAAACTTTTATCATTAATATTTCAATAAAATATATTAAAATATAAAATATTTTCAGGTTTCAAACAATTTGCAATGGGTTGATAAACCGTAAAAAAGAATCAATAAAACAAAGATAATACTTTCGTTCCTTCTATATCTTTAGCAAACGTTATTAATATTCTGCTTTTTTCTCTTTGATTGCATAAGCAAAGTCAGCCTCTTCAAATTCCATTTCTGTTTGTTAATTCAGTTTTTTGCTCATTCTTCATCTTCTAGGTTTTTTAAATCATTTTGCCCCAAGCAAGGCAATAAAGCCACTTAGATGCAAGGGGTTACTGAGTGTGAAAGAATAGAAGGAAAGAAATTATTAAAGAGAGAGAACAGTAAGAGGACAGGTATTAAAAAGACTGAAGATAAGAATTGACATTGCATTTAAATTTTGAAGATCAAATTTGACTGGACGACAAGAAGCGGGAAAAGAGTTTGACAAAATAAAAGCCAAATAATAAATTCCCTACCCGACATAGCAAACCAAGTCTTCTGGTAGCAGACCTTCTATATAATTCAATTGATTCAATATAATATTTTTACTTCATATCAGCAGAAAACATTAACCCAAGAAATCGTAATGGAGGTTAGCAGCGGCCATGTTGATGGAAAGTAAAAAAGATTCTGTCAGACGATTAAAAGACAGAAGTTTCGTAATGTGTATCTTCAGGGTTGCGAGCGATCATGCCTCCCCGCAATTTCATGTCCTTTGTAGATCTTAATAAAGACTGCCTGTTTGGTATTTCCCCTACTGCTAATCAAATACACAAAATCGTTAGGTAGGTTAAGGGCTGTTTTCCTTTGTCCCTGTTGACTTCAATATGTCCTGTGAGTGTCAAATTTTCTAATTTTTTTTTCTGATTCTATCTATAAGTGTCCTTTTTGTTTCCATTATTGTTAAAACTTTATCGTTGCTTACATGTTCAGTCTACGGAATTCTCGACATCCTTCTATAGAATTACATTTCTGTTGCTTTGTCTCTTCTTCATATGCGAGGACATTGACCAGCATTCAACGCCATAAACGAAGACTGACATGACATTCATCTCTATGTATAAAAGGCAGGATGTGTGTGTGTGTAACGAATGCACGGCCACAGTTTTTGACGGATTTGCACCAAGATTTACATGCACATGCTCCAAGTTAGCGGGAAGGCATTTCCCAACTCCCATCGATAGTGGAAATAATCGATTTTTTCATGCTTCTACGGCAGTTTTCATGTAGTTTGCGGCCATTTTGTACTGGCCAGAGTGAGAGCCTATAGCTGGCTGCCACGAATAGGCAGGAAGATTCTATTGGCCAGCGTGAGAGCCAACAGCTGACTGACACGAATGTTAACTAGCATGCTAGCATACAAAAAAAATCGATAGCTGCATTCGTCACAAGTGGGAAAAATTTAAATCTGCATGGAACTTTACTCCAATTGCCTCATTCGCTTGCTTAAACTCAACGTTGATTCTGATTCTGCAGAACTGGGCTGGGTGTGAAAAAGTATTTGTTGTTAACATTCTTTTTTCATTCGTTTTTCCAGCTACGAGTCCTTTTTTAAAGCTGATCGTTTTGTGTTCATTTTGTTTCGTTCTTTTTTCGTAACAGATTTAATGTTTAGTATAGAGCTTAGAAAAAATTCGCAGTGTGAGATAGACAAGAAGCAAGGCATGTAGCAACATCAGCACGGCAAAGGGCACTCCTTTAAAGGCAAGGAAGGGCAAAAATATTTTAAGTCAAGTGATAGCGATGGCTGTATGAGTCGTACGATTTTTGAATCAAGGACGGGCAACGCCGGGCCATGCTGCTAGTTCTAACTATAAGTGTCCTTTTTGTTTCCATTATTGTTAAAACTTTATCGTTGCTTACATGTTCAGTCTACGGAATTCTCGACATCTATCTATAGAACTACATTTCTGTTGCTTTGTCTCTTCTTCATATGCGAGGACATTGACCAGCATTGAACGCTATAAACGAGGACTCACATGACATTCATATGTTATAATAGAAGTAACACTGATCTTGTATATACAAAAATAATTTAAAATACTTAGTGGGACATTGGGAGCCAAAAGTTAATGTTTAGCATCATTACAATGACGATGTTTTCAATAGTTTTTTTAAAACATTGTGCAAGTTTTGTTATTAAAATTTGTAATTACATCCTAATGTTTCTTGTAGTTTCAGGCAACCGACTAATAATATAACGAAGCAACAAAGTTCATAAATTTGTTGCAATATTTCAAGAACGACAGATTGTTTACTATCCTCCTCAACACTATTAAAGTCCCCTGTGGAAAATAAAGGCTCAGTATAAACATGCTAGATATTACTGAAATGGTTTCTGTTGTAAATATTATGTTCTTACATATATTCGTTCGTTTTTTTGTTCTGATATTCTGTGAATGATCTCGAAAAATAATATTCCGTAGCGTTTTTTTCTTAGTAATTCTGGTAATCGTGTGAAACTGTTGTCTAATGTTATTGACATTTTACTTAAGGTGAGACATCTTTTTGAGATGGAATGACAAAAAGACAAAAATGAACATCGACATCTTCCTGCATGTCCTTATAATCAAAGTCACAAAGCTGCTAAAAGCTGTTCGAGACATGTGGGCTGTGGACGAAGATCAAATGCTTCAAAACAATCAAACGATCAATGATAAACTGTATGTTGAACAAATGATCAAAGAGGCAATTGAGCTGAAAAGACACAACCGTTGATACGGCGTGACTATTCAAGCTGACAATGCTCGACCCAACGTCGCTAACATGACTAGATATGTAATTAAAGATCTAGGCTGGGAAGTTCTGCCACACCCATCAATATAGACCTGAGATACCATTTTCAGAATACCATTTTTTTCGGTTGCTTTCTAACCATTTGAGGGGTGTTTCGTTCAACAACGATGTAGATCATGATGTATATTTTCAGTCAAAACCTCGTGATTTCTATCTTGTAGGCATTGAACAGTTAATTGATCATTGGTAGGAGGTCATAAAGAATGAAGATGAATATATAGTTGGATGATTCATCAAGACTATAAGTAGTAAAATAATTTATAAAAAAACGACGCAATTTATGTAACAGTCTAAAAGGTCCTATTTTTTAGTTGCTAGTCCTACGCCCAATCCGTTTTATATACACAGTTTTCACTCTCTTATATATTGAATACCAATTTCGAGCTAGGTAATTACTTATAGATTTAAATGTAATAGACCAATATTTATCTAATATTTATCAATTAAACGCTTATAAACTTAAATATAAACGACAACTATTTATCTAGCCCCGAAACAATTAAATGATTATGGACTCAAATAAAACGCACTAATATTTAACTATTCATGAACCAAGTAAATGCTTCTAAGACAAAACTCCTCTCTATTAATCACCACAGAGAGCCTTCCCTTCTCTCCATTAGAATGTCTGACGCTCAACTTCTCGAGAGCAACTCTCTGCGGCTTCTCGGTCTCACGTTGACTGCTGACCTGAGATGGAATAAATACATCAAGTCAATTGCCTCGTCCACTGCAAGGAAAGTTGGCTCTCTGAGCCGCGCTAGGCAGTTTTTCTCCCCGGAGTCGATCCTCCAGATATACAAATCCACAATTCGCCCTTGCATGGAGTATTGCTGCCATATATGGTCTGGTGCCTCTTCTGTTTGCCTCGGAGTTCTTGATAGGCTCCAGAGGCGGATATGCAATGTGGTTGGCCCTGCCCTGGCGTCTCGTCTACAGTCACTTTCTCACAGACGTGCCGTCGGCTCCCTCTGTCTGTTCTACAAATACTTTCATGGAAATTGTTCCGAGGAGCTGCATTCGCTGGTTCCCAGACGTCATGAGTTCCAGCGCCCTACGAGTCTGGGATCCCGCTCTCACCCCTTCACTGTCGAAACTCCTAAATGTAGCCGTCTCTTCTACTCCAATAGCTTCATGTCTCGCACCTCTCGCCTGTGGAACTCCCTTCCCTATTCCTGTTTCCCTTTGAGCTATAATCTCCAGCTATTCAAGTGTAATGCCAATCGACATCTCCAGTTGGCTTGATCTATCCACTACCCTCATCCGTTCTTCTATCACTCCTATCTGATCTTGCTTTAAATTTTCTGTAACCCCTTGCGTCCTAGTGGCTTACCGCCTTGCTTGGGGTGAAATACTTATAAAAAAAAATATAAAATAAAAAATATAGATCTATCGCGAATGCAAGAAAACTCCAAAAGACTCTAATAAAAATCATCGAAATTTACCTATACCCGAACCAAATAGACGATTATAGACTCAAACAGAAACCACCGATATTTACCTATTCCCGAATCAAATCAATGCTTACGGAATCAAACGATAAATAGTTACTTTTTACCAAATTCAAATTGTTGAAACTTGACTAATGCATGGAATAATAATACAACACAAAATGTACTTAGAACAAAATGTATTGAAACAAGAAAGGTACACAATATTTACATATAGTCTTTTGTATATTCTTGGGAAGACCGTTCCTGGAGAATGTGTTGACTTAGTCGCAGTCGGGCAGAGACTCTGGATTGAATCTCTTGATTCCTCCACCCCCGTCTTCCCGGTACCAACCATATTTATATGGTCGGTACTCCACTATGCAAATTAGGTGGATCCTACCACAACACAAATATAAAAAAAAGGATTTGGACATTGCATAAACCAACAAAGGTTTACTTGTCGTCAGCATAACCCAATTAATCACAATATCCAACCAGCTGTCAGGCTTAAGACTATATTACACTGTAACACCGCTTCTCGTACTATTACGGAAGTTAAGCAACGTCGAGCCTGGTCATTAACAAATGGATGACCGCTTGGGCATACTAGGTGTTGTAATCTTGGATGAGCGGATGGTATAATGACTTGGAATTGGGAATCAGAGAGCCGAGTTATTATTCAGTTTGGTTTCGTCATACTCACTTATGTACATATACCCTTGGGGAAGGATTAATCTTATAACATTTCTCCCACCAAATATGAGTTATATCAGTAAGCCATTATTATTTTTTTTAATTTTTACAATATAAAATACTTTCTGCCATTAAATAACATGCAACAGGTTGATAATCCGTAAAAAACAACTCAATCTAACCAGATTTATGTTTTCACTCTGATGATATTTTTCATTTTCGCTCTGTGTTCTCGTTCAAGTAAAAGCACTGACAAGGAAAGCAGTTTCACGGATCACGATCTCTCTCAAACTGATATTCTGGTCCACTCAAGCAAAGCTAAGTCAATATTTAAGGATCTTAAACTTGCCTGGCATAAGGACATAAGGAATGTACACCGGCAGAATAGAATTATTGCATTAGGGCATTTTAATCCACGAATGGAAACAAACAGGCAACTTGTACTTAGCATCAGGAAAAGGCCGTTGAAATTCCTAGGTTGCGTAATGAGGAGGGAATGCTCGGAAAATATGATACTCATAGGATAGATAGAAGTCAAGAAGGACAGATGAAAATAATGCATGACATACTTAGTGAGCAAATGGATGGTGGAACAGATTTTTGTAGTAATAAAAATATTAATAGCTACAAAGAGAGGAAGTTGTAGAGAGCCATGATCACCTATGTCCTGGGGAGATACAGTACATAAAAAATGAGAAAAAAAAACTTACTAAACATCATTTTCCCTGTTCGAATTTACTGTATTCACTGAATAAACATATTCTGGTTGTCTCCCCGCTCCCGCCAAAAAAAAAAAAAAAAAAGAAGCGACATTTACTAGTTTGTTGTGTCTTGAATGTATTGGCTTTGATGTACTTTGTTCGTTGACGTTAGTTCTACCCTATTGCTCGTATTATTAGGATCAGTCGTAGTAATTGTGTTGTTCTTATGGGTATACGTTAAACAATTTCCACTGTGCCGGCTAATGTTCCTTTTGGCGTTCCATTATTCCTGGTCCTTCCGAGAACGATTCGTTCCATCTCTGCCAATGTCAGATATTCGAAACGCCGGTGGGAAAAGGATTCCCAACTCAGTCTGGAAGGCTCCATTATCAACAAACAAAAGAGCCAGCA